GGGTCTCAATCTGAATGAGATCGTATTTTACAATAATATACATATTTATATATATATATATATATATATATATATAAATTTTTCAAATAAAGTTTTTAATTGGAAATTATTCTGTCTAAAAATGAAAATTCGATATATATATATATATATTTATATATATATATATATATATATTATATATATTACGTAAGTTTTGATATGATTGGTGTATACGGAATAAAATCCAATAATAAGGCCAACAATTATATTATTCTTAAAAAATTTTTTCGATACATGAGTAGATATATAATTATTTACTTAAGACTTATAACAATGAATATTTATAAAATTTCTTTGAAAATAGTTATTTGTTTCAATTTGAAACAAAATGGAATGATTTTTGTATTTTTTTTCTTAATTTATTATAATTTTTAAATAAATAATTAATTATATATATACAAATATATATATATATATATATAAAAATTTAACATATTTCGCGTTTATCAAGGTTTCATCAGAAAATGAAATACGAGAAAAGAAAATTCTTTATTTTTTATTGGTTAAATAGAGCTTATCTGACTGAAAATAATAAAAAAATCTTTGAACAGTTAAATGTATAAAAATTTTTTAATTGTTTCTTGAAACCCATCCTACCATTCTTTGTTGGATTCAAAAAAATCCTTGATTTATTTATTTGGCCCCATCTCTCTCTCTCCTCTCCTTGTCTCTATTAGTATCCTCAAACAAACACATATATAATATATATATATATATACTAGCAGCATGGCCCGGCGTTGCCCGTTTCATGATTCAAAAATCATTACGACTCATACAGCAATCGCTATCAAAACTTAAAAATATTTTTTGCCCTTCCTTGCCTTTAAATAGGTTTGCCCTTTGCCGTGCTGATGTTGCTACATGCCTTTGCTCTTGCCTATCCCACACTGCGAATTTTTCTAAACTCTATACTAAACATTAAATCTGTTACAAAAAAAGAACTAAACAAAATGAACACAAAACGATCAGCTTTAAAAAATTACTCGTAACTGGAAAAACCGAATGAAAAAAGAATGTTAACAACAAATACTTTTTTTTTTTTGGAGTTCTGCGGAATCAGAATCAACGTTGAGTTTAAGCAAGCGAATAATTTTAATTGGAGTAAAATTGCCATGCAGATTTAAATTTTTCCCACTTGTGACGAATGCAACTATCGATTTTTTTTTTGCATGCTATTTATTCTTAGTTAACATTCGTGTCAGTCAGATGTTGGCTCTCATATTGGCCAATAGAATCTTCCTGCCTATTCGTGGCAGCCAGCTATAGGCTCTCATTCTGGCCAGTAGAAAATGGCCGCAAACTACATGAAAACTGCCGTAGAAGCATGAAAAATCGATTATTTAAACTATCGATATATATTGGGGAATGTAAATCTGTCTTAAATTTCTGCTAACTTGGAAATGTGCATGTAAATTTTGGTTGATAAATCCGTCGAAAATTGCGGCCATGCATTCGTTTACACACACACACATATCCTATTTATATATATATATATATATATATATATATATATATATATATATATATATATATATTTCAGAATTTAAATCATCATCTTATCCGTTATTCTTAATAGATAATCATATTTAAGCAGATGCTCTGCTTTTTTTGTTATTATAAACAGTATATTGTTTAAATGTTGATCTACCCCTTGAATATTCGAGAAATGATAATTATTTAAAATATGCATATGACCTGCGGCAAGGTTTGATTCAACCTTTTTCCCGTCGAGTTTCGGAATTGTCATTGGCGAAAAAAATTTCATTTTATTTTGGCCTCAACCATAGTCCTATTTGACGAGAAATCAAGGCACGCCAAATGTAATGACAAAATTTATCAATATATTTCGAATTTTTCCAATACATAATATTTTTTCATATATCTATTCGAATATTCAGGCCGGTAGATATGAATAAGAATAAAATACAGAGCATCTATACAAATATGTATATCCATTAGAAATAACCTTCAAATAAATAAATTAAAAATATGCCTAACCCATTCCAATTCCCAATATATATAAAAATATAAATAAATTATTTTTGATTGAAGAATCGGAGAATATAAATTTGCAGTCGTATCCATCACATTCATTATATGCTAGTATATTTTTTCAAATCTGTTCCTCATCATCTATATATATAGCTATATATAAAAATGAAGAACAGACTGGGTTCTATAGCCTTGGATGGCAACTGGTCTAGGAGAAGCACAACTCTTAAATTAAAACCTGCGGAGGGTCGTTTGGAGATTTATTGGCAAAAAAATAAATAATCTGTAATCGGACCTTCAAAAACTATTGGATGGTCCTTAATAAATCCTTCACCACTATAATCAAATATCATGTGCTGTTGTTGGTTTCCTTTTGAACTTATCTGTTGATTCAATATATATAAATTCGACGGTGGAGTCGATTATATATATATATATATATATATATATATATATATATATATATATATATATATTTGGTTGGATAGATGTGAGTTTGTGACCCTGGGTTTCACGCTTTAGCGATCGTCAGACAAACTGATTAATGTTTTTTAAAATTTGGGTTTATGTAGATTGCGTGTATTGGTGTTATTGTGGAAGTGGTGGGGGAAATTTCGTCGTTTTGTCATTCATCGTACTAACGCAAACATCGATATATGCAGACACATATACATACTTGGTCGTCCGTCGGGACTCATACATATATAAAAACATATGTGGGCAGTTTCGGCTATGACACATGTATGTATACGGGTGGTGTTATGTCTATACATACGCATTTGTATGTTGAAATTTAAAATTTAAACATTGGAAGTGTGGCGGAAATGTCTCGTTACTGTATACATGTCATATTAAGTTTTTTTTTCCATGAAAAATATTTCCTCGCATGTATGTATATACGTGTGGTGGGGTTTTATGTAAAATTATGATAGGTAAAAATTATTATTATTTATATTTATTTTTAAATTTTGAAAAAAAAAAAATATATTTTTATTTGTTATATTTAAAGCTGGTTATTTGTTTGTTTTTGGTGACTGTGTATATGTAACAGGTAGAAATTTGTAATCCTTATTGGATAATTTATATGGTGATGTTTAATTTAATATTCAATGTGCTGGGTGAGAGGGTAGTTCAATTTAATAACGGGTCTATATGATATATGATGTGATAGTAATGTTTCAAAGGATTGGAACAATGATAGTTAGCTAATAGTTGTTGTAAATTGGTAGAAATTGTAAATTGGTAGAAATGATTAGTAACGGTGGTGGGAGAATGATAAAACCATGAATGTAGTTATAGTGGTGGTAGCTTGAACTAAAAAGTGGTTGTTGGTATTTTTTTTTTTTTTTTTTTTTTTGTTATATGTATTAATTTATTTTGGTATAAAACCTGATAATAGGTATTCTGTGTAAAATTATGGTAGTTGGAGATTGCTATAATTTTTAATATTTTAATTACAAAATTATTATTGTTATTATATTAAAGCTGCCTGGTAATAGGTGTTTATTCTCTGGGTTACATATGGAAATTATATCTGATCATATTGTTTTAAGGTATTAAATATGCTGGGGGAGTAATAAAAGATTGTAGTGGATTTATATGTTAATAGTGGGTGTGATGTGTAAGTGATGGTGCTGTGCGTTGGTGGTAATTTTAATATTGTTAGTTAAAAATATTTTAGTAAAAAAGATTACTAATATATATATATATATATATATATATATATATATTATATATATATATATATATATATAAATAGACTTCCGACGTATTTATCATTTCAAAAACAAAAATTCCGACAGCCAGACACAATGCTCATTCAATCTTTTTCTTTTTTTCATTCATGATTTGATTATAGACGGTGAAGTCTTTGTCCAGAACCAACTCGTCTGCCCTATATATATTTTCCCATAGCAAGGAAAGATTTTAAAAATCGATAATACCTATCCCAGGAGTAAGCAAATGTAATAATCCGATTGGAACTCAATATATATATATATATTTATATATATATATATATATATATATATATATATATATATATATATATATATTATTTAAAAAATTGATTTAAAATATTTAATTTTTTTTGCTAGACAGTTCTAACCATGTTTCAAAAAATGGAAATGAAAGCTCTGAATTTAATTTTGTAATTAAATTAAAGACATTAGTTCCATTTCATCCTCAAGCGAATTTTGGAGTAACTTAATTTAAAATTACTGGGTTTTTAAAGACACAGCAAAAATCATAATTCACGTTTTTCCAAGATACAGAAAAATCTATTCAACTAGACAAATCTGTCTGCGTGTTCATTATTGATGTATTTTGATGTATCCGTTATTAATTACGTTTTGGTATGGGTAGGGATGTATTTTTCAATGAAATCTGACATCCGCTAAATGCATGTCGTCTGGATTTTTTTTAAATTTTATTGTTAACGGTAAAAATTCTTACGGCATTTTTTCTATTTGTATATTTAAAAGATTTTTTTTTAATCCTTAGAATATTAATGTCTGAAAATTATTTTGTAAAAATAAAAATATCTATAAGAACACCGGATTATATATCTTACTGTTCTTTCTTTTTAGGTTAGAATACGTTTTATTTAAGTACGATTTGAAAAATATTTTCACTTTTAATTTTTAATATACTATATTTCTTTTAAGAACAAGTAAATGTATTAGAATCCCTTAGAATATTAATGCTCTGTAAATTTACATTGAACACTATTTTGTAAAAATAAAAATATCTATAAGAACACCGGATTATATATCTTACAGTTCTTTCTTTATATATATATATATATATATATATATATATATATATATATATATATATATATATATATAAATATTGATTGATCAAAAAGTATCGAACACAAATGGAATTGGCACTTTGCTTCCCGATTTTTAATTCAGATGTTATCCCATATACAACCCCTGCATATCTAAAAAAAATGCATTCTGGATGGTATTCCCGAGCGGTCACCCATCCAGGAACTGACCAGGCTCAACATTGCTTAATTTCCGTGATCGTACAGGAATCGATGTTTAAACGTGATATGGCTGTAAACCCGTGTGTATAAAACATTAATCTACCTAAGTAAGACTCACGCTATTTTAGATCCAGAAATATTTATTAGCCTCACTTAGTCTGGCACAGGGTTACGAGTCTTGAGCATCGTAGCAGTGCTTTTGTTAACACTTTGCTGTTTTGTTGAGCATAGGCCCACAGAATTGTGGCATAGAAGGTAGCCATTGACAGTGTCCTGCTGAACGTGATTCTTACGTCGTCCCTGATAATCGACTATGTGACAAACTTACACTTGTCAAGAAAATGTCTTACTGAAAAAAATAGAATTTTTTTTTGTTTTTACTAGGGTGGGGTGAGGCTATTACATTCCTGGAAAAAAATTCCAGAAGAATTTAAGATTTTCTAAAGAACTATTCACTAATATCAATTGTCTTTTGCCCATCCCCCTACGCCCTTTGCTGTATTATTCCTTTAAATACTTGCCCTTCTCTTCAACACTTAACTTATCTAATCAGATAACTAAGAAGAATACATATTCATTGAAAAAAAAAAGAAAAAAAAAAGAAAAAAGAAGACCTTTCCTTGTTGGAAACACGTACTGACGAAAAGAAATTAAAAGATATTAAGATGTTTTTGTTTTCTTTCCTTGCCTAATTTTTTTCATTTTATTTTTGTCTCATCCATTTTTTATTACGTTTTTATTTCTTTCAAAATATATCATTCATTCTTATCTATCTTGATTTGAAGTTTATTTACTTGGTGGGTATTTCATTCATTCAGTATTTTCTTCTTATTTATTTTCATTCATTTTTATTCACTAACAGAATATTTATATCAATTTACTAGACTCCTTCTCCATTCATTCTTTTCTGTTTTCATTCATTTTTATTCAGTTACAGAACTTTATTTGCTATTCCTTTACTAGACTCTTTTTTCACTCATTTATTCATTCTTCTCAATTTTCATTCATTTTGTTCATTTACAGAACGTTTTAATCAATTTACTGCTCCTTCTTCATTCAATCTTTTCTATTTTCATTCATATTTATTCTCTTACAGAACGTTTTTTATATATTTATTAGACTCATCTGTCATTCATTTATTCATTCTTCTTCATTTTCATTCATTTTTAAACACTTACAGAATATTTTTATCAATTTACTAGACTCCTTCTTCATTCATTGTTTTCTATTTTCATTCATTTTTATTCTCTTACAGATCGTTTTATTTATATATTTATTAGACTCTTCTTTCATTCATTTATTCATTCTTCTCAATTTTCATTTATTTTTATTCACTTACAGAACGTTTTTATGCATTTAGTAGATTCTTCTTACATTCATTTATTTATTCATTTCAATTTTCATTCATTTTTATTCATATACAGAACTTTTTATTCAATTACTAGATTCTTCCTTCATTCATTTATTCATTCTTTTCAATCGATAATTTGTTGTCAATCTGCAAGGAACAACATCGTGGAAGTACTAACATGTTTAATTGGAAATATACGAAAAAAAAATGTAAATAATGAATAGATTAAAATAGTTATTTACTTCATAGATATTAACCATTACAATCATGTGACAGCAAGTTTTCTTTGAAATCTCCAGTTTCCCACCAGAGTTACATTTATACCTTCTTCTTCTTATTATTATTATTATTATTATTATATGTGTGTTATGATTCCTGCTTTATATCCTGTAGAATCGGGCCTAATAGGAGAATTGTCATTTAATTGATAGCACTTTTCTTGCGATACAGGATGTTCCTAGTAGGGCGATCTTCTGGGCAACTTCTTGCTGATAATGTTACCTGGGTTTTTTCTTATTTAATTAAAAATATCCATTCCTTTTTTATAATTTGATTTTATTCTCCGATTATTATTGGTACAATTTTAGTCTTCATTCCTCACATCCTGTTAATGTCGATCTCCAGGTTCTTGTATTTGGACGATTTCTCGATAATTTTTATGGAGGTGTTTCTCTCAAATGTTACTGTTATGCCAATAAGCATACACTTCCTGAATTTCATGTCTTTTATGGTAATATCAGGACAGTTGACTTTTGTCTCTCTGGTCTTCTCCTTGGTCTTCTCATATCTGATTATATGCGAAACATATTATTTCATCTGTTAGTTTGTTTGAATGTTAATATATTTTCTAAAACAATATAAAATACTAAAATATTTGTTGTTTGCGAAATATATATATATATGGTTGAATATCTGTGAGTTTCATATATGGGTTTCACGCTTTAAAATCGTAAAATTACTGATCAATATATACGAAAATAAAAAAATAACTATTTTAATCTATTTAAACTGATCAGTTTGTCTGACGATCGCTAATTTCATTTTTATATACCTGCGGGTCTGTTCATCTATCAATTGTTCATAACTCCATCTCTGATATTGAGCGCTTTCTCATAAGTACCGCGCATATAATATATAAATAATTATACATATATTTTTATTTATATTTATATACACTTTTACACACACACACACACACACACACACATATATATATATATATATATATATATATATATACTAGTAGTAGAGCCCGGCGTTGCCAGGGGATGTAACAGTAAGAGATAGATCAGATCGATCATCATAAAGACTGAAAAATAAAATTGACAAAAGATTATTGTTTAACGGACACGAATTAAAATAAAAAACTCAAAAAAAACATTGTTTTCAATCGTTATGAGTCTACCGATTGAATAGTTTTAATATAAACAATTGTCTTGTAAATGGAATTTTAAAGCATTCTGAATGTTAAAGAAAAAAGTTTTTTTGAAATCGAAAAAATATAGGAAATCAAACCCAATATGAACAAACAAAACACACACACACAACACACACACACACACACACACACAAAATACAAACAACTTCTGGGTTTATAAGTATAACTCGTCTTGTATAACTCGATAATTGTCCTTCTTTCATTCTCACGATGTATGTCTCTTAAAAAACTATTTTTCAAATTGATTTCATGCAAAAAAAATTGTGTTTTTTCAATTTTGGGCTATTAGAACCACCATATAAAATGTAATTTTACACAATAGTCCTGTGAAGTTTTATTGAAATCGGTTTGCAAAATGTATGAAATCCGATCCAATTCATAAACAATACACACACAATCACACACAAACACAATCTTTTATACAAAAATATTATCTAGGAATATTCTCAATTCAATTTATTTCTAGGACTCAGTTATTCACATTTAGTTTTAGCGTGATCTCCCACTTTCAAATGGTAAAAGATTTCCAAAACTTTGTGAATATGGCAATGTAGGTTAGGATAATAGTCCTAATAATGTAAATAATGCAACTAAGCAATCAAGTGTTAAAAAAACATGAGCATTTCGCTAGAAACAAAAAAAGAACAGTTCTGAATTACTAATATAAATACTCTTGTAAATATTGCTATCCTCTCGCTACGCTATCGCTATTTCCATGGCAAATGTTCTGAAGAGTTACATACGTTAGTTCCAACAGCCTTGATCCGTCATGCCATGTACACAGGATCGAATCATTCTCATTCCTTTCATATTCCATTTGTAAGGAAGAAATTTCATTCGGATAGCTTCTCCCCAAGAACAGTTGTTTAGTGTAATAAACTCCCGAGAGAATGATTTGAAGATCACTCTAAACTTAACCTCTTTAACCATTATCTTTCTCATATACCTCGTCTTCTTGCATACAACACCCTTATTCCGTTAAAGCTCTACTCTGAGTGGCTCAGCCGGCTTGTATTGGGTAGGAAATTAGTAAATAAAAATAATGCTGAACTATCCCTTCACAGATGAAAAAATAGCTAGAAGAAACTAAAATGTGGTTGTACAGAAGGATGCTGAGAACATCATGATTGTGTTAAATAATAGTTTAACAGGCTTTTATTTTTAGGGGAAGTGTATCTCGGCTCCGACCTCGGAGGTTGACATTTGGAGTCAGATGTAAGCCATAACTGGGAAGTCAATTCTGGTTGAGAAAGGTGAGAAAGACCGGACAAAGGTTTCGGAGAGTTGATTATTACCTGTCAAGCGATGTAGACGTGTTTTCTTTCGTGTCCAAAGCGGCACCCAAGTGAGGAGGCGGCCCTAGTGGACAGTTAGGTAATGTACTTGTCGACATGAGTAATGAAGATAGTTAAGTTAAAATTCTCCGTGTTTGAAGTCTTTCCTTGCTGAACCAAAACGATTAGCAAAAGTCGGCCGAAATGAGACAATCCTCACCAAGGGGGTCTATGCAACAATCGGTGCGAACAGTCAATTAAACAAAATGGAAACAAAAAGGAAAATTATTCTGAACCCGAAAAAGACAGCTGGAATTTCGTGGATATATAACGAGGAATGAAGGCATGGGTAATACTGACACTCGCAGAACATATGAGCAGGAAATGAGAGCAGGGTAAGACAGCGGGTTGACTACTTGAGAAGCTTGCGTGAATAAACGGCCGAAAGTGGATGGGAGACAAACGTCGCCAAGGGCTACAGAGGCTAGAAAGATGTGCAGAGCCACGCCTGGAAGGGATACAGTGTATGGAAGAAGTCGAAGTGATGATTACTGTAATTCCCCATGTATAATAAACATTTTTTTTATCTAAAAAGTAATATTAGGGGTGCGTACTATACACTGCTACAAGAATCTTTTCATGAATCGATTTCAGTTGCGAAATGACTACTCACCACAAATATACTACAATTTGACACTAACATTCAGCGACTTCGACCCCATAAGGATGTAAATACAATCTTATAGTTATTTTCAAGCGCATGATGGCATAAGGGCCGAAAG